ATGTACAGCTTAAGGAAATGATTTCATCTAAAAGAAAATTTTCTCTGAATTTTCTTTATTTTTATTCAGTAACACAATGGATGATCTTAATTATCATTCTATTCTTCTAATCCTGACTTACATTTAAAATCTAGTTTTTACTGAATTCAAGTATGGGTCTATAAAGATGATGGTTTTAGGTTTTACAAAAAATAGTTTATATATTTTAGAAACATTTTATAAGGGTAACCTTTTTTTCTTAAAAGTTTTCAATCTACACCCATATCTACTAGTTGTTAAATAATTAACTAAATAGAATAGTTTGATTGTTATTTTTTAACATCAAAATAACTATAGTTTTGCAGTTTAGCCTGGTTCAGAAAACTTCCCGTTGAAATCACAACCATCCAAATCTTTGTTCTCTGAATTACATTAACATAATAAAATTGAGTTTACAGAAAATTGGGTATAATATCTCATTTAGTGCATAAGTATCGTACAAATTATCTGAAGATAAATGCAGAAAATTTGAAAAATTAGTACTGTTATGAAGAGACGCTCTAATAACATGACTCTGGGACTCACTAAAAGTTCAAAATAGGAGGAGTTCAACCCCTACAGAACACTACTCAACTTATTTTAGTACTATATTATCTGTCTTTTAGAGACAAATATTATTTCTAGTCCCAACATTCTGCAACAATTCAACAAAATGCGATGAACTTTACACAAATATCCTGTTTGGAAGTCCTATCAACCAGACATCTGACTCAGCTGCTGTCTAACAAAAATTTTAGACAACTCAAATTAATCATTGTTATTTGTTACTGATAAAATACTAATATAGGAGTAACTCAAGGGAATTTTTTACAAAGGAACACAATTCTTGACTAAATGAATTTTCAAGTATCATTATTTATTGTTGTTTCATCTTGATTAAGGTCCCAGTTTTATTCTTATAATTCGTAGGAATTATATTTCTAATTATCTTACATATCAACAGACGCAGATAAATTTCTAAAAAAATAACTAGAAAGAATAGATTGGATCAATTGGCGAAATTTCACGAGAATCCTAATAACGTGAATAAATTGCTAGAAGTATCTTTTACGAACGTCTTAGACAATAAGATTCTGCTGCCGCATGATTGTAAGGCATGAAAATGGTAGACAAGGAAGATGTTTTTTTCCTCTGTGTTGGATATAAATAACTCCTCTGTTAAGTCGGCTTACAGTAAACTCTATCAGAGCCTCCAGAGGCTCATAAAGAGCCCAACGAATCAGCGATTAGTTAGAAGCTATGCTACTAAAATAACGAGGTCCTGATTGGCTGTTTAACATACTGCTACTATGGAATCTCAAGGTCTTTTAATTACTATAAAACCCCTGTTTTTCTGTACATAAATGAACCTTGTAGTAAAGTAATTCTCTCATACTCGTTTCTTCTTACTGGTGTTCAAGTCGCAGAGTAGTGCTAGCCTGGGGTTATCCGAATAGCTTAGGATCTGAATATAGCGTTCAACTTACAAGATATAACATCCTCATACCATGCGATTGCCAAATACTTGGAAGAAATCCTAGAACTAATCAGAAACCAGATCAGCAGTTCGAACACTTGATTTTATGGACTCAGTGGCTGACTTCAATGTGTCTGAAAAGAGATTGATATCAATAGATGATATTTTTCTCCACAAATTTTGCTCCGACAAAAATAATTTGCTTCTTATGTATTTATATTGAGATGTGACTACCATTTGACTTTTTTCTAGCAAACTTTCATCATCAAACTGAAAAACGCTGTTTCTTCCACCAATATTCAGTAGAATTCCTTTCTACAAGTCATATTTGGACCACAGATTCATCAGATGTGGGTAGATAATAAGTTGTGAAAATACTTTAATGCGTTTAGTTTCTAGAAGAAAACCAAATCTAACAAAGTAACATTAATGTGTATGACGTGGTGTAGCGTCATCATACTGATATATATATATACCATGAATAATCTAGTTAGTTTGTAACTACCCTGGGATCACTCAAGACACTCGTAATATGTGCTTGTAATAAATTAAGAGCAAAAAGCATCAGTATGAAGGAAAGTTTTATTAGTATGCTTAATCTTAACATTTACGTATTTACTGTATTTATAGTTTTGTATTGTATTGCAATCTTACATACATGATAAAAAATTTCTCTATTCTGAACAGATGTTTACAAACTTTCCTGTTCTTCTTTTGTCTTTTCCCTAAACTTAACGTTTTTCTATTAATTCCAACAGATAAATTTGAAATACTTTTATGTTATACTCATTAAATTTGTTAAGAATCTAGGTTCAATGATTCTTTGTTCACCTCAACTTTTTATAAATGAGTTAATAGTTCATGAGTAATTTTATTCAGTTGTATTCACTTTTAAAATACAAATCAACACTTGTAAACTATTTGTTTATGATGGAGTTTTGTTCTCTAAGCTAGATGGTTTGGTCGTGGAGCTTTTATCGTTCTTCTGAACGACATCATAAGCAGAAACTTCTGGTAGAAGCGAAGTGTTTGTTAACCACCATTTATATATTTGTTACCATTGAATAGGTTGTTTAATGTATACGTCCTAAATTATTATCTGTATGGCAACGTCTAGTTGCGATTCCATTATCCATCTTGACAAAATTACAGAATCATTGCAAGTAAAAATAAATCATGCGAGTTGTTCCTTACATCTTTTGTGTTGGAGCCGTCTTTATATTTTTTATTAACAATAGTCGAATGCCCAGTAGAGTTCAGCACTTTTAAAATCTAATCTGAACTAACCATGTTGTTTGCCCCCTAACTTGAATGCATCCTTTAATCACATTTTTCGCATGTTAAGTTACCCTTGTTTGTTAATGTTTATATCATTCATTCTCTTACTTTTTGGAATATATACTTGGTGTCACCACTAATAACAGAATTTGTTAACCCAGATAGTAGTTAACAGTATGTTGGTTTTGGTTTTCTGTGTTAACTTATAATTAGTTACTGATTTTTGGAGACGCTGCGAAATTCACTCGTAATTCACACAAAAGAATTCTGAAATCAATCAAGGGATTTTTGTTAAGTCGGCTTACAGTAAACTCTATCAGAGCCTCCAGAGGCTCATATAGAGCCCCAACCAATCAGCGATTAATCAGAAGCTATGTTACTAAAATAACGAGATCCTGATTGGCTGTTTAACACACTGCTACTATGGAAACTCAAGTTCTCTTAATTACTATAAAACCCCTGTATTTTCTGTACATAAATGAACCCTGTAGTAAAGTGTTTTCTCTGATACTCGTGCCTTTTCTCTGGTCTTCAAGTCTGTGTATAGTTCTAGCTTGGGGATACAGAACCAACTTAGGAAAGCTAATATAGCGTTCACAATCGGCCAGACGTAACAATTATATTTCGAGAAACTGATAAATTCGATGTTTTTTGGTCAGTGTCTTTTTTACGAGATGTAACTGCTAACCCTATGCCCAAATCTTCCCCTTTACCTGGACTTGGGATCTACAGTAACCTTAGATGGGCTTCAGGCAGAGTTAATTTTCGCTATTACCACTGATAAATTATAGCTGACAATTCGTGCCACAATGGTATGGTTTGGTATACTGAATTGATCCGAAGCTTTTGCTAGGTAGGTGACAGAGTACTCTGGTTTCAGAAACAGTTGTAGTGACAGTCAACTATCGTTCACCTAAATAATCGACATAAGACTGTTGTAAGGTAATTGGACACTAAGTGTTTACTTTTGGAAGGATATGTTGTTCATTATGGAATTCGCACAGAGTACAGATGAGTATAAACCTGTGTTTGTAATGAAACCAGCCAGATAACAAGTGATTATTAATATTATTAGCTTTATTCAATATTTTATCTTTGGTACAATATAGAATTCTCAGCACAATGTATTTCAACAAGTTTCCTTTTCTTACTTCTTGGTCGATCCTGATGACAAATATTGAGTGACCACCTGCTAGAAGTTAGCAGTGCAGTCAATCGACATCTAAATAATGTACATTCTTTTCGCTGCATATTACCAGCAACTGCGGTATCTCTGATTGGGCCTTTTGTAACTCGTACAACGAAAGTTTGTACACTTTTCAGAAACTCACCTGAATAGGTCATGCGATTAATAGCCATAATGATGTATTAAAACAAGCAAAGTTAGATAAGTTGCTGAAATATCTAGATAATAGGAACAGGTAGCCCAGATGATCCCATTTAAAAGGTACACATATGTTTATTCTGATTTCCTGATCTTGTATTGGCCAATACATTTCTAAGAGTATTGCACCTTGAGAATATAGTAACGGGTACTTTTTATATCATCGTTACAGTTTGTTAACATTTCACAGCAATTTCAGCAAAAAACGCATTTCTTTTAAAAATAGTTTTCATCTGGGATTAAACTCCCAGAAAAAAACTGGGAACCCTAGAATACTCCACAACCAGTTAGTTTCCGTTTCTAGCGCTCTTCAGCGGTGCTCACTTATTGTGCGTTACAAGATCTAGACCAGAACTAAACAGTTGTCCAGTCTATTTTGTCTCTCTACTTTACCGTAGTTTTCCAACGCTTAGTGAAAGCATTTGCATAATCCATCTCAGCAATTAACGTATCTCTTTTTCTTGACATATTAAAAGGTAGTTTCCACACAGAACTAAATCCATAAAAAATTCATTTTTCTAAAATAAAAACATGTGTCTTTTTTGACGAACTGACCCTTCTAACGTACAAAAATTACTTTTATCTGTTAAATTAATACTAGTTGAACACTCGTTATTTATTACTGATTTTTCTGCAAATTCCATGTTATACTAACCCTTTTTTCTCCTGAACATGTATGCTTCGACAGGAATTATCCAACTTATGTAGGGATAAAAGTATTTGAATAGATAATGTTTAACACTTTTACCAGCATATCACTTAACAGTAGATTATAATATGTGTTATTTACTCATATATATATATGTTACATAAAATATTGGGTTTATGACTATTTTATTTCAGATGGTCTAATCTCAGAAGAAAGTGAATTTAATCCTCCAATCTCCGATAATAATCACCTAGGTCGTTCTGATACAAATAATTGTTCAGATGTTCATATACCTCAGTGTTTAATAGCTTTAGGTCGTTTACAGTTAGTCAACAAACCAGAAGCCGTTGACCTTTATCCTCATCGTTTCAATGAATTCCTTACACGTCATTCAGCAGATACACTTATCACATTTTGCGATCAAAGAGTTCAAAACGTTCTTGGTTTGGAAACAAATGAAGTCCTTGGGCAAGCCTTTGGAAATCTTCTACCTTCTTCTAGAGACAAGATTAGTTTTCAAGAAGTTTTTGACAAAGGTAATTGTATTTCTTTTATAGTGTCTTTATAATAAATCATCAGCTTATTTACCTCGATTTTTCCAGAACCTTATAATCAAGACAACATAATACAATGATACACATTGTTTATTGTTTGAGGAGAAAGATAACAAGAAAAACTCATCAAGCAAAAGAAGTGATAAAAAAATTGAGAATAAAAGTTCTAATAATAACTTCATTATGCATGAGTATGTAAAAACATTAACTTCCAAAGGATACTGGAATAGAAGTTCTCAATAAAATAAATGAACCGTCATAAACTGATGAAGTTTACTCATATGGACTAGTGATTTCAATGTATTACTTCTAAGCACGGGCTAAATTCTATTATATCTTTAGCCAATCAAATCTTATTAATTGCGATCATAGATCGTTCAGTGTTAGACCACCATTGAAAACCTTGAAGCACTGGATGGCCGCTTCGTCTTACTGTGTGGTACTTCTCAGCAGTGTGTATCTACGATCCTGCACGTGGGATCTATTTCTAAATCTTAGGAGCTGAAGGTTTATTTCCTTCTTAGTTTGAAAAAGATATCTATAGTTGCCATTTATGAACTATTCTCACGAATTAAGGTCTGGAAATTTTCATGTAAATAATAGTTTAGAGTGATTTAAAAATAATTTTTTGAATTGCTACCCACTTAAAACAATATATTTCAGTGCATATTCATCCACTGTTTCCTTTGGTTTTCTTTTTGGTGACTATTATTTACAAGCAGCCCTTATGGCTATTACTACCTTTGTAGAAAAGTTCAGTTACCTCTAATTTGCTTTACTCAATACCTTTTTTCTAGCAAATTGTCTTTCCAAACTTCAAGTCGAAGACTATAAAAAACGTCTTGTCATGTTAAGGATGTTACATCCTTAAATATATTTTAGCAGGAAGAAATAAAGTAAGATATTATGTGTTAATAAGCAGGGATGAATAATGGGTAGCACCGGGATCCAGGACTCGCGTCTCCTACTTGGGACTCATCGACTTAACATGCATGAGAAGTGACTAATCAGTTGCAATATTAAACATCAATATGAATATTCAAATAATTAATACAGATTATGTATTGACTCTAATGTAATTTTCATTCAGTTTAATTTTTGCGCAGTACAACATTAATTTATTTCAATTACTCCATTGTAATTCTTCATGTACTTGAATTTTATTCAGCATACCATTCAGTTGTATTATTTCTCTGCGACTTTGTATCTAAATGACGATTATTCTGTTTGATGACTATTATATAATTTGTAATCACTGTAATCGGATGACAATTCGGTGTATTCAAATATAATTTTAAACTTTCTGTGGTCCCGATCATATCAATCTTTCTTGTAATACGTGTTTTCGAGGAAAATGCGTATTCTGGCTCGAAATGTCAGAGTATTCGCTGTTACTTCAAACCATGTTACATTTGCATTAGGAATATTATTATTGTCATAATTCATATTGTGAGCTACATAAAAGTATGTTTTTGTTCTTTCGATTAGCTTGGAAGCTCAAAGGCCAGTCATTCACAATCATGGTACATATGCGTTCCAAGTTATTTACTGAATTGCTGTTCGTTAAGTGTCATTTAACAGCGTTTGTGAATCCTTACAGTGAGGAGGTAGAATATGTCATTTGTACGACAAGTTCCATAAAGTAAGTATACTCTTAGTTAAATGTAAGACAGTAGATTGTATGGTTTACCATGAAAAAATCCACTGTTTATCATTTCATTGAATTCCTTGTTTTACCAACTGGGATGCTACGAATATCTACTTATTTTCGTGTTGTATTCAATTAACTGTATTCCATTTCAGAGCTTTGGAAAGTGAGACTTCAGGTTCAAATTCAAATACTACTTATACGGAAAACAACACTTATGGTCAAACTAAGGTAGATTTCTTTGAGAGAACATCCCATGTTACTCACGCTAATTGTTCAGTGGTACGTGATCATACTAATACGACACCAATCCAACCGAACCCTAAATCTTCGACTTATATTCATCCAGTTAACCAAGCAAAAGAATCACATTTGTCTAATTACTGGAGACATACAAATGAAAATACAGATCACTTTGACCCAGGATTCGCAATACAACCAAGTACCACTGAGATGAATCTACCCTCAGATCTTGATCATCAATCATATCCATTTTCCGGTCAGATAGATTCATCCTTGAACAAACCTAGCTCACTACATAGTTTGTCATGCTCTAATACACAATTAATACCGCAATCAAATCAAGAGCATGCTAATATTCAACACCATACAGATACAGCATCTGGTGACTATTTATCATCTATCCCAAACAATTACGGTACACTACGAAACGGTACAGATTTTCCAACAAGTGATGTCCAAGTTCTAAATAATTTTGGTGAGTTTCATGTTACGTATTCTGTTATTTATCTCCAATTGAGCATTAGTTGCAATTTAATTAAGGTAGTATAGACACTTAGCAATAATCCAAATTTTCGTTTTAATTCCTTCGAAGTTTATTTTGTTATACAAATGCACGAAAATAAGACACTATTCTTTAGTGTCCAATGTTAAGCAGTTGACTCAAAGTAAATCCATAATACAAGATAATAAGTATTTCATGATAGCTTGTGACCCTTTCTATTCATTTTCTCCCGGTCCCTTCCTCATAACACTGAAATCTATTCTCATAATCATATCGAAACACTGTTTATCAATGTGGTATGAAATCACTCAAAACTGGCTTTTGTTCTCTTTTTTTATATAAACTGCCAGTTGAATAAGACTTATCAAACGTACAGTAACGTCAAATGACTAACAACAAAACTGAATCATGATTAAACTCTTTGACTAAAGTGTGATAAATTTATAAGGAAATACCACTTCTAGAAAGTAATCAGATATGTTGGGGAAGCTTTACTTGCTGTTAATTAAAAGATATGTTTGACTTCCTATTAGTTATATTTAATTTTAAACTTCTTGATACTTTTCCGAGACATTGACCCACTTTTTTGCTATGGCATTTATTCTCTTGTGATAACTACAGAATAGTCACATAAACTAATGCGGCATAAAATTGCAGACTATATTGTATACCAATATGAAAAGTATTATTAATAATTATACTTGCACAGAAAGTTGTCGTAGAACAAAGCACCGTTATAAAACAAGCTACTGCTGTTTTTTTCAATTCAATGCAGACATGTAGCCAAATGTGATTTTCATGTTTAAGACAGATAATTCATGACTCATATTGTTGCTGTTGTCCCACTTTATCTTATCAATATTTAGAAAACTGTCCTGTTAAATATCGTTGCTATCACAATTAAGTGTCCACTAGTTTCACTCACATCTTATTCAACACACTGAACTAAGAAAATACTTGCAAGTTGTTATTAAAATCTACGTTCTTATCGTTCAGTATTTATTTATTGCTTACACATCTTTGTACTTGATGAGAAACATCCAAATTTATATTTACAGATCACAAACGCAATAACCCTCTTGACGTTAACTGTGCTTTTCAAGCGTCTAACCTGAACACAGGTGACTGCCTAGTTCAAACATCTGAAAGTGGATTAACACGCCCATCAGCTATCTGCTTTATGCCGTCAGATTCAGTAGGTGATTGTGGTTGTGATATTACGGAAAATATGTCACCACATACCATGTCATATCTAAATATAAACCGACCATTTGGTAATCATGAAACATACTTACCAAGTATTGATATTACCTCAGATTCCAGGACATATCAACAACCAATTACTGATCATCCTACTTCTGCGTTTCATGGATGGTATGATCATTCACTACCTTCCAGTTCCATATCCACTTCGGAGTCTTCCTCTATACCATCAGATATTTATCATCAACCCGTTGCAAATAACCACACGCAAGATGATTTATCCACCAGCGATTTTGTATACCCTCAGCCCCACATATTGCAAGTCAATAATGAAACGAATAACTGTATACAACAAAACCCTCTGCAGCAACCGAGTTATGATTATTTCAAATACACTGTACAATAGCTTAAAAAACACTATTTGAAGTGAATTGTATTTTGTCCCTGGGAATGTTGTGCAAATACTATCATTCCACTTAAAAACAACTATTGTATAGTTTATTTGGAGTGTATACTTGAATTCTCTAATTTTCTTTCATATTGATTCTTTCGTGTATTCATATATTCTTTTTTATGCATATCTATCTTAATAGTTAATACTGTTATTGCTTACTTTTGCTGGTCTTTTTTTTATCTAATCAGGTTAATCATTTCCTGATGTCATTGTGTACATGTCTTCTTAATTATTTCATGAGCTTAAAAGGAATTATGCTATGCTTTAAAGATTATATATATCCTTAATTGCTCTACAATTTCAGCATTTTTAAATATCTTTTTCTTTGTTAATTAATGGTACTACTTCATTTATAAATAGAAACAAACTGTAAACTAATGTACACTAGTTGTTCTAACTATGGTATTTAAAAGCACATTTGCAATATATTACTTTTTTGTACGTGTGCAGTTAATGTCTAGTGATCTCTGTTGCAAAAATACCGTTTAATGTTGTGGAGAATATTTTCATAAAATACCACATGTGATGGAACAGAGATATGGAAGTAACTGAGAATAATATTATGCACATCGTTAACAAGTTAATTAAAATGAACTTCAACAGATTGAGTAGCGTAGACAGAGTACTTTTTACGAGACATTATCATTCTTCGTTCAGCTATTGGTTCTTTAATGTTAAGTATTTTAATTTTACGGTACGCATTTAAATTTTTATATGCGACTCAACTGTAGTTCATCCACACTTCTGTTACTCGAGACTCCTGAGTGACGTAACTAGATCCCCACCCCTGACTTTTACATATGATTATCCCTTGGTTCGCATTGTAAACAAATTACAAAGGTATCTTATTCAAGACATTCAATCGTTAGTATCAGTCTCTTTCAAGTATCTGGCATTTAGAGCAGTGGTCGTCTGAACATAGGAATCTATAGATCACATTTAGTAAGGACTCTGTCTTATCATTACTAAAGTGTAAGTGAGGAGTTTAAAAGTATAATATGTAAAACCGATACGGACCTCAAAGTTCGGCGTGCTGGATGTAGAGCATTTTAAAGAATCAAGATACACGCCGTTATCTGTCTACACATTTTAACTACACTATAACTGACTGTAAATCTATCGAAATAAAAAAAAATCACTTGTGCTAAAAGCTATTGTAACAGTCAATTGATAGTTTATGCTGAACTATGTTAAGGTTTTTTTCATTCCAGTTCGCAGAGCAGATAACCCCAACACTAACTTTGGCCGGTAATTTAATCAGTGAATTACATCAACTATATTAGTTCATGAATAGTCATCCAGACTATGTGCGGAAAAGCGAAATAAGTATGCTACTCGTAATATCAAGGAGTAGCTGCAAAGGACATATGCAGTAACTAAGTGGTAAAGGGAGTTAATTTTTTAGTTTAGTTATTTCTTTTTCATTCGTTATTCATCCTGACAACCTTTTCTGTCTGAAAATAGTTGTAACAAATTTTACATGAATGCGCTGTCACGTTCATTGGTAAAGATCTGTTATTATTGATTTAACTCATTTACCAAGTACATCTTAATGTATATGGCTTTGAGAGTGAGGGCCACTGAGATTAGCCGGTTGCTTAAACTAAAGTAGACTGAAGTTCAAATTTGACATCTTAATTACTGAGCCACTGTTAAACGAGTAAAAAATATACGGTTTAACATAAAGTTTCTTACTATTAAGTAATTTGAAGATTTTTGTATGAGACGTAGTTAGGCTGCCAAGGAAAGGTCATTTTTCGCAATAATTTGCCAGACGTATTTCAGTTAATTAACTGTTACGTATTTCCTATTCTATTATCCCCAAAACTTACAAGTAGTTACCTTACCAATGAGAATTTTAATCAACAAGCAAAACCATCAGAAAAAAGAAAGAATTTATTTACAAGAAAGGTTTGGAAGTTGGGTTCTAAGTTTTATTTAAAGTTTTCGACGATCTGGCCTTCATCAGCTGGAAAAAAAGATCTATTACAAACGCAAAGTAATAACTCACATTTTTTGCCTTATTGATTTCACGCTTCTCATCGAATCTAATTTCATCTAGTTTCTAAAAAATGTATTTCAATGTAAATAGTGATGATAATAATTACGCGTTCTGCATCACGACGAGCGATGGATACTTCGGCAATTATTTGAGCTACTTTTTTCTCGTTCACATCAAATGTCTTCAATTCCTTATCTACATAAAATATGATCAATGAGATACTTGGGGTTAAGCGCCTGTAAAAACGTAACATTAAAATGGAAAAATACAGCGAATCCCATTTTTAAACGAACAGATTTATTGATGTATGATAATAATTTATAGTGAATTTTTCGTTTTCATGCCTTCAGGTTAAGTGACTCTTGGTAGTTATTTAAGAAATGTGTCGTAGAATAATGAAATGCAACAGCTACTATTACCAATTTATATCCATTGGATTGAAATTTTTCATTAATTTTGTACTTAATATTGAGGCTATTCAGCGAATTATTGGCCAGGATGGTCATAATGTAAGCAGTCTCACTCATTGTATAATAATCGCATTTACGTAAGAAATGTGAGATCGGTTAAAGAGGAGTTGTTAAATACAATTAATTGGAGCTGGAAATTGGATTTCCATACTCAATATACCCATATAATTTCCAATAAAATATGTCTACCTCGATAATTGCATTGGTGTAAAGACAGATAATTGTGCTTGTGTTTACTATCTAAAGAACGGTTGATAATGGAGTTCACAATCAACAACAATGCAACTGTGTACTGATTATATATATGGTCGTTTAGGTCTCATACAGCTAAGTGGTTTGGTAATGCGATTATTATTTACTGAGTCAGTCACAACGTACAGCCTATCACAAATTTACGTTAGTTTAACTCCACACTGAATTAGCATAACGAGATGATATTGATTTTGGGACAGTGGGAATGGGAAATCAGTTATTTACGTTTGTCATTTTATATTTGTATACGCCAACTTCGTGCATAAATCTGTACGTGATTTTTTTAATTGTGCCAAATTCAATCTCGTTTATAGTGGTAAACATTTAACTACTAATCATACCTTAAGAAGTAGTATTAGAGATCTCCTGGTATGTTTTTACATAATTGATTTGTTGTTTTTTGACAACGGCCGTTAAATGAAGTGTTACTAAATAGCAAGTTAGGACATAATTTGTGGTCAGAATCGCATCAAAGTCACTAGACGATATTGGAAAATTATTACAAGAATAATATACGAAGTTTGTTGTTTGGGAAGAAAAACAATTTTTCGAAGATCAATCAATTTAAAGTGTGACTTACTGATAAATGTTTGAATAGCTTTTAAACGTTTTACTTCAAAAAGGTCACACAATGTCAATGCTAAACCAGCTTTCCCAGCCCGAGCAGTCCGGCCTACTCGGTGAACATAATCTTTAGGTCGAATAGGAACGTTATGATTGATTACGATATCAACTGTTGGAAAATCAAGTCCACGGCTTGCCAGGTCTGTTGCAATCAGAACACGAATCTGACTAGAACGAAAAAGAGTCAATGAAGATATGCGGTTTTTCTGAGCCATAGAGGAGTGAAGTAAGGTTGTTTTAATACCTAGACTGGTCATCATCAGTCCAATAAGATGACACCATTTGCATTTATTTGTAAAAATCATAATAAGTGAATGTGGATTCTCAGTAAGAAATTGATCGACAGTATGAACCAAAAATGCTTCTTTGTGTTCAGGTCGCATCAGAATATAATACTGACTTAAGGTCTCGACAGTTACGGCCCCTGCAGATGAACACGTAGTCATGCATTCAGGTTGCCATAAAATAGGAGGGCGTCTGTTTTCAGCGTAGGCCACTGACTTTGCAGCCTCTAAGGAAGATTTGACTGCACCACTGAATGTAGCACTAAAAAGCAACGTTTGACGACGTTTCGGAAGTGCTTTTAATATAGTGTTCAGATCTTCGCCAAAATTATCTTCCAACAATCTATCTGCTTCGTCTAGAACCACCACTTTCGTTCTGGATAAGGTCCATTCTGGCTTATTCTCAGTATCAGCTTCTTGTGCGGCTGTCTGGGTGCGCAGAAGATCAGCCAACCGTCCAGGAGTAGAAACGATAATATGTGGAGATCGAGCTAAGTCAATACTCTGATGAACTATGCTTCTTCCACCAGTTATCACCAACACGTTACATAGTGGTTCACCTTGGATTAAATTTAACCCAGCGGCTTGTTCCCCAATTTGATGCGCCAACTCCCTAAAACAACAAAACGTGGATATATTACATAAGTCAGTCAGATCTAGGAATGGTTAGCGAGATAAAACAGATAACTTTGCAGCCTGTTCAACTAATATATATGGGCATAAGCGTTCTCCTGCCAATCGGAAAAATGTACTCGCCAACAAACAACCTTATTTTACAATTCAATAACCATTAAAACCCGTAGATTTAATAACGCCTTAAAAAACATTTTACAAAAATAAATACGCCCATAACCTTTTGCACTTTATGGATTGCGTTTATTGATTATGGTTATTTCTATAAAGTTGCTAGATACAATAAGAAATGACTTAAAAAGCCCTAGGTCCATCGATGTGTGTTTGATCATATATCACAGTTCTGTTGATGGATTCGTTTTACAGCACTAGCCATAATAGTATGTTGAGACAAATTTTGTTCATATACACCCGAACTGTTAAAGCGAGCATCACGGATTCAAACTTTAGTGGAGAAAGCATTTGACTTTCAATTATTGGATTTTCGGTCCGAAATTCACCTTAAATAATTTTATTTGGGCATCCGGGTATTATTATTATTTACACATGTACACATTGGTACAAAAGGGCACCAGATATATATGCGCGACACAAATCTCATTTGGTTTGTGTGAGGGTTGTGATACTGACCAGGTGCCCAAACTGGAGCAGGTGGTTTTTTTAGGGAAGCACCAGATAAATTTATTTAAACACATAAATATTGGTACAAAGAAGCACCAGATAAATATGCGCCACACAAATCGAATGAGATTTGTGTGAGGGCTGTGATACTGCTCAGGTGCCCAGACTGAAGCAGGTGGTTTTCTTAGGGGGCCACACCCGGAGCCTTCGACTGAAAGATCTGATCAACAAGGCAGTGGAGCATCGTGAGGAGATGCAGTCCCATGGTAGTCGGTGATCAATGGTTGATTCGTACGCCATTTGTTCCCTCAGGATACTGGAGCCCATGTGCACCATTGGTTTGGAATCAGGGTTTTCCAACTCCCCTAGGTGGACCCTCCATGTCCACCAACCCGGTTAAAGCGCCAGACATTCGCTTTTCGCCCTCTCAATTTCGTAAACAACAACCTCGCCGCGAGAAGGCAGTGAGTAAGAATTCCGTGGCAGTTTCTGTATACGCGTGGCCATGTGAGAGCATTTCGAGAGGGAGAGCGGACTCTCCCTATCCTTGGCCGTACCAGGGCATTTAGGGGCACCCGGGGAATAGCATCATCCTTCACGAAAATTGTGACTTGAAAGCTAATTCAAGAATACTTCATTCTCAGCTGGGTAGTGTTCGAATTTCAATTTCCGTGATAACTTCAGAGATATCCTACTCGTTGTTTGCAGGCACATCTGAATGTTTACTTAACATAAAATAATGATGATAGTTTTGAAGGAATGGATATTAGTATGAAGTCTCTAACTTCTGGTCTGAGCCGTGTTAGTAGGTACAGACTACTCGGTTGAGGTCAGAGCGATCTATCGTAATCAATGTCTGGAGACTCTAGGTAATATGGCTCAGAATCAATCACAATGGCGTAAGTGTATGCACTCTGTCTTCCCTTAAACTGTGAGGTTGAAATTACTTTACATTTTTCTTTCTATCAACTAATTCTTCCTCCCTGTATTATATCTTTACATGCAATCTTTTATATATTATTACCATTGAAGTAACTACTTCTATAAATTTGGTGTTCACCTTCTTGTGCTAATGAGGTGTGGCAACATGGACTGATGCATATACGTGAATGGTCCCAAGCTGTAGCTGACTTATATTAGCATGCAGTAAATCACGAATGTTATTTTAAACCAACTAGCGTGCGATTTATGAATGCTATTTTTCATTTAGGGACTATTTGTCTTGGTAGTCTCTGGTTGTCATAATAGTAAGAGTCATAGATGACAAGGTCCTGTTAACTGTGAACTTTAGAATTTCACGGAAATGAAAGCAACTACCCCTGTAGAGCAAATTTTTGGAGATATTTTCCAATACCCTGATGGAAAAAATATTAATTCATAGATCACTTAAGACACAATATGATGGAAAATACTGGTCAGATCAATTAGAAGATGTGATATCATGAGTTTATCATCAGATGACGAATTTCGGAATCATTTATCTTAACACTCCATAAATGAACATACTCACAATTTTATTTTTTTCAGCCATATATTAAAGTTACCAGTCAATTGGTTTTATTTAAAAGAAACTATTATGGAGCATCTCATTTTAGCTAACAAACGTTCGTTGACTTAACAGACAAAAGTTTGTCTAAAATGGAAAGCTCTGTCGACTAGTCAAGATCCTCATGTATCTTTTTACACAAAAAAGGTGTTGGCTAACTTTAAAAGACCTTTATATCAGAGAAATATAAACAAAAATTCTAGATAACCAGTACCTTGTTGGAGTAATTATTAGAGCATATAATGGTTTGAGTTCCGTCATGAGTGATTGAAGTATGGGGATCAAAAATGCTGCTGTTTTTCCAGAACCAGTTTTGGCACATGCTACTACATCATTTCCTAAAACTGCATTAAAAAGTTACAAAAAAACCTTCCAAAATCACTGGAATGCAGCCTTCTTGAACTTCCGTAGGTTTATTAATCCCTTTATCTCTTAGCAACTCAACAATTTCAGGACATACACCAAGTTCTTCAAAAGTCATTTAGATCCGAATATCTTGTACTGCACTGGTTAATGTAGATATCAATTCTAAGTATCAGGTTTCTAAGATATGAAAAAAACAAGTCATCAAACATGTAAACTAAAAATATACATAGACACTAAAGATTTGAACATAATTTTTCAAGTTTTAATGTTATGTAAGCCTTTGTACAGTAAAAGCTAAGTTACCATACTTCAACCTGAGAAGCAATAAAGTTGTTGCAAAGTTGTTTTAACTGTGAGGTGTGGAATGTTCAACTTTTTGGTGGTGTGAAATTTTGTTAAGACTAAATTTCTATAAACATCCAACGCTGGTGATTTCAGATCATCTCTGATACTTTGACCCTCAATGAAATTCTCTTGTGTGTGCTGGAAGACTATTGTTGACAACCACAAAGTATTAAGTTCCAGTTAAAACACGGATACAAATGATGATTACTGCCATTTAGTGTCTATGAAGAATTTATCAAGTATGATAAACTTCCCAGGTATGTCACCATTACATTACTTTTAGAGTTATGTTGAGATAAAACATTCAAATATACACCTACCTTCTGAAGTAAATGAAACATATGCATCTAAATAACAGTTGAACTATCGTTTAAATATCACGAAACTGACAAAATTCCCAAATCAATCTGACTTTGATTTTTAATAATTATAGTGAGCTTGTAAATAATACTGTGTGTGTAGCCGCCGATTGTTTTATCGTACACGAATAAAACGAGTAAAATACGCACATATAATTAGAGGAATGAAATTCATACGTGTAATGACAGTTACTTTTTATAGATAAAAAGGAAGACGAATTGCCCACAATTTTTTTCTGAGTAGGATTTAGAAAAAATGAGAACTCTCCTGAATTAACGACGTATTTGCATTTGGTAGGAGTAACGATCCGTATAAGAGATAACTTGGAAGATCAAAAGTACTTTATGTAACATTTAGATCCACAGAAAGTGACCTGAATAAAACTAAATCAATAAAATGTAGCTACCTTAACACTACCCACACTGATATAAGCCAACCAATATTTTTTGTAACTAAATGGGAACATGCAAACGAGATGACAACAAGGTGAGGGTTCTTTGATTTTAGCATAAAAGAAACAAGGTCGAATCTCTATGATAGAACCATGTATGAAAAACCATGTTTATTTTTGACAAATTGTAGACCGGAAAGTCTAAATACTGCGTAAATTTATTCAAAGACACCAGCTTTTTAGGTAAATGTCTCCATGAAGGACGTAAAAGAAAGAACAGATGGTCATTTTCCGAAAGCGGGAGAAGAGAGTGTGGAATTGTTCTATGCTCTTCAGAATTCACACCAAACATTCGTAGTGATTCGAACATGCTTTCCAATAGTTGTTTTTCATCCACATCAAATTAGCTTAGTGTGAATAAAGAGCTCTGGAAAAGTAGCCAATTCCCCACTTACATTAAAATCATAAGCGACGAACTTTGACTCTATGAACAGAGTAATTGACTTGTAGCCAAATACGAAAGGACTTTTCCTTCATATATAGTGCGATAACCTCTTGATACGATTTAACTGCTGGTTTGTTGCTACTTCTACTCTTTCAGATGACATTCTGAGGAATATGTAGATAATGAATCGAGTGTTTATTAAATATTAATATCATCACCAAGATATTTAAAATAATTTAGGAATGAAATGTCTTATAAGTTGTCACCTCAATCAACGAATATCTCGCGATAGCGGTTAACACCTTTCCAGAAGGTACTTTGTGTACTAGGGAAACATGTAAAGTAACGTGAGTGAGGAGGGCAGGAAAACAAAAGAAACACTGATTCGACGATCTAGCAAGCACACACCATACACTCACATTTAATAATGAGAATAGACGACATTCTTGTGGTAAAAACTAGAAACATATAATTCAACATGCTACACTCGACAAAACCATTACACGTCGTAGCGTCACTTCTGAATCAACCACCTTAGTCGTAAAATGGGTCAAAAGGTCGTGGATGGGATATAAGCTTTCGTTTAACAGGCTATCGTACCTAGTACCAATTGATTACTGATGCATTCAGGTGTAGTGACCGGCCAGTTTCGATAAAAACACGATTGGAATAACGGAAACAATTATTATTATTGTAACCAATTGTACCAGAGATTGTTTTACTGTATTTGTTTAACTGTATCAGTTTCACTTCTGCTTCCGCTCTCCGCCTTGTTTGGTTCGAGCTTGATCACGCACTGCTTATTCGCTTGTACTCTTTGGCACGTCTCGGTATTATTTCGATACCACGAGATCGCCAATAAATATACTTGATCTGGACTAGTAAAGCCTTCTGGTTTACGGGCTATCAAGGGAACCAAGTCATATTTGTACGCGTAATCGAATAGTAGTGGTGATCATAGTCCGTCCACGACTCGACATCCACTACACAGGTATGAACCTAGATATATTTGAAATTGAAAAGCCAAACATAAGTAAGTCGTAATGAAATACTATATTGAGGCTCTAAGAGTATTTTGTGTCCTCTTAAATGGTTCAAATGGTTGAGGACGGAATAGAAGAAGCTTTCGCTTAATGGGCTTCCGTGTCTAGTGGCAGTGGATCACCAATACCTCCTCTTAAAAAGACTACTAAAAATTCACTTAAACCACCTCGGCCGGTAGGGATTTTTCTAGTATCTTTCTCTGGTTTATGTGTGCTGCGACTATGATTCGCCTCGGGACTGCACCTATTTAGGTATTTTAGGTGATACCCTTTAGTGTTTAGAATGCTGTTAGTCACTAAAAGGTCACATCAGCGACACCTATACTTTATTGTGTTATGACCCAAAACTGTCTTCATAAAGTTTGATTCCTTGAACTGGTTTCTTATCTCGCAGTTGGAAACGTTCCAGTTTATTCGTATTCATTACGAGTGAAAGAGAAACAAAACATTTCCATAATGTGAAGCAACATACTGTTGATACAGGAAAAAATGAGTTTCATCGTTACCAGTGCAAGGTTCACTCGAAAGAGATTTTAATCGCTGTCAACTTAAGATTTAAGGTCACAGGGCACAAACACAATGAGATCCTTTTCAGCTAAAGGTTCCCCTTGAAGAGAGTAGTAAGTGTAGTCCGCAACATATCTCACATGACCCACTTTACACTTTGAAGTGTCAGAAGTACGTTTCTTGTTATCCGATCAACTTTGAAGTCCAGTCACATCTTCCTGAAGTGACAAATGATTATACTGGTTACAAACATCTCTCCAGAGTTTCATATCACCAGCGAAAACTAATAGGTCAAACAACACATTCTGAGGAAACTCCTTTATACAAACTGAGAATAGAAGAGGTCCTAGTAATGAACCCTGATGGAGCCCATTAGGACATTCCGTAGTCTGGGAAAAAATGGGGTTTAAACTAAGTTCCCAAGTTGAAAAAGATTTAGGAGTGTTGGTACCCTACGACCTGAAATCGTATGCGAACTGTGACAAAAACGCCTCTCAAGCAAACCTTGCACTGGTAACATGGAAGCGCATTTTTGGCCAGTTTGACGGTAGAACCTTCCATATAATCTTCAACAGTTTTATTCGTCCCCACTTAGAGTACGGAAACATAGTATTTCCTCCCTCCCTCCAAAAGGATAAGGTCACTCTGGAACGTATACAACGTCGAGCCACGAAATCAGTTCGGGGTCTCAAATTCAAACCTTATGAAGAGCGCCTCAAATCACTTAACCTTTACCCGTTAGAGTATAGGCGTCTTAGAGGTGATCTTCTTATGACTTATAGTATCCTTAATACTTCTGGTCATCCCCTTAAACAACTTCTTAAGCTTAGTCATAACACTAATCTCAGAGGTAACACCCAGAAATTGGAGACCCTACATAGCAGAACAGACTGCAGACACAACTTCTACTCCGTTAGAGTTGTCAAGTGCTGGAATTCGCTGCCGACTGAGCTAGTCCAAGCGACCTCCCAGGAGTCCTTTAAGAGAAAACTTGACTTATTCTTAAGGACTAAGGATAACATATTATTATGATTTACCAAATTCTTTTTTTCCCTCTATTATCGTTCATATACCTAGGTTTTTGCCTGGAGGTATTGGTGATCCACTGCTACCAGACACGGAAGCCCGTTAAGCGAAAGCTTCTTCTATTCCGTCCTCAACCATTTGAACCATTTTGAACCATTTAACCTTATTAAGTCAATTAGCTAGATACGAAGTGAGTCAATCAATTGATTGTGACTTCATACACAATCGTTTGAGCTTATCGATAAAACGCATATGATTGAACCTATCAACAGTTTATGAAAAGTCAAGGAATATGGCATCAACCCTCTCCCTGATATCAGAGATGGTTGTCCATCTATCCACTGTGGTCATCAGATTGATTATACAAGTGCAACCATTCTTATAACCATTCTGTTGGGGTGAACAGAGGTTTATGGGTAGTAAGTAGTCATGCAGACCATTGCATATCAGTGACTACATAATTTTTGAGGGTATTGAGAAACGTTCTGATGGCCGTCGGTCTGACAGTTAGCTGTGTCAACCTGTATTAAAAGTCAATGTACTGTAAACCAACTTCCAATTTTCTGTCACTGTACCTCAGCTTGGTAAATGTGAAAACATTACACTAGACGTTTTTTCCGAAATTGAAGCTGCTTCTCTCAGTCTGGTAGAACCAACCGTATACAGGCAAGTAGAAATACCCTTGTTTAAATGCTGAAATCTCTGATACAACAATTCAATGGTCAGGTTTACTTTTCAGAGCCCTGTTGTGTTGCAGCTGAAGCTCTCGTCAGTGCAATTTGTTTTGGACGGTCGAAATATTCAGAGATACTGCTCTGCGGAAGACCAACTTCCGATTTTCTGTCACTGTACCTCAGCTTGGTAAATGTGAAAACATTACACTAGACGTTTTTTCCGATATTGAAGCTGCTTCCTTCAGTCTGGCAAAATGAACCATATCCGGGCTGTGAGAGATCTACTTTCTCGGACACATCAATCCGGTGCTTATGTTGACTTCT